AGCAGGAATTCAGGAAGGTACAGAGACTAATAATAACTTACCATAGGGCATTTTCCCTGCAGAAAATGCCATAAAAATCTCTCTTTTGCCCCATGGTTTGATCTTACTCAAACCTCTTCTTGAGGTTTTCTGTGTGTTTTTTGTTTGGGTTTTTTGGCACGGAAACAATCCCAGTCTCTAGAAATTTATCTGGGAGGGGGGTCCAGAGGATGGAGTTGGGCTTGCTGCTAATCCAGACTGTTGGGAACCTAAGGCAAGAAGTGAAAATAGAAGCAGCAAATCTGTGTGGTGTGGGAACTCTTTGTTCTGCCTTGTCCAAAACAACACAGCAATAAAATGCCATCTGCAGCAGGCAACTCTGCTGGGAATTACATCACAGCCCCAGATGCTTGGTATTCCTCATGCTTTCCAACACCACGTGTGAAAACACAGGCAGGGAAGAGGTGAATGATCACTCACTGCCTCCAGCACATCAATGTGTCTCAGACAAGGTACCAGCCTGGTGCAATGTTGGGTGTCCAGGAGGGGTCACCCCCTCATCAGCACCACAAACTGACATTCCCCTCTGCTGTCTTATTTCCTCAGGATCACACTGACTCTGGCCTGTCCCATGGACCTGAAGAACTTCCCCATGGATGTACAGACGTGCATCATGCAGTTAGAAAGCTGTGAGTCCTGTGCACATCTCCATTATGGAGAGAAGACAACATGTTTTCGCTCTCATCCACCATTCCGCTCCCCAGTTGCATCCCATTCCCAGTTCAGCCTTCACTGGAGGCTTGCTCAAGAACCACTTGCTCAGAATTTTCCATTCATTCAGCATGTGACATTCCCTAGAGAAGCCAAACCTTAAAGATTCCATGAGAGGAGGCTTGGCTTGCTTGTATTTACACTGGCCTTTCACTTTGGAGGGAAAAAGGTGGAAGTGCTTTCAGCTGCAAATGGAATTTTTTCTCTCTGGATGAATATTTGCCCCTTGCACATGTTGGTTAGCCCATGGGAGGGAAAGACAATGAACAACTTCATTCAGAGAAAGAGATCAATAGCAAACGGTTCAACAAGCCAAATTGAAAATAATGTCATTTCACACAGTTCCTTGCACACCTTCACTGCTCCTGTGCAGGTCAATACCCTGGGTTTTACTACGTGCACAAGCAGTTCTGCCTCAACCCACATCCCACCCATTGCAGCACTGCCCAGGAAGGCCAGGCCAAGCTCCTGCTTCCAAGCACTGCTCTCTTCTACAAGTCTGTCTTTCCAGATCAGCATTTAACATTTTTCATTTTTCACCCTGTATTTGTCCCCTCCTCTCAACAGTTGGCTACACAATGAATGATCTTATATTTGAGTGGCAAGAAAAAGGAGCAGTGCAAGTTGCTGATGGGCTGACATTGCCTCAGTTTATCCTCAAAGAAGAAAAAGACTTGAGATACTGCACAAAGCACTACAACACAGGTCAGTGCTCTTTACCCTTAGCTGCTGGGTTCATCAGAGAGGAATTCAGGACTGGGCATTTGCCAAAGTCTCTTGCTATATCTGATGGCACTCGTGACACAAGTCTCCTGCACAGCTAGGGACAACGTATATATAAATACACATAGATATGTTGCCAGTAAATAGAGAGATGTTTAGCCAATAAAATGTTCATAGACACAAGTGTGTGGAACCCTCTTGTCCCCAGTAAAATCTGCATCAGTTCAAGTGTGTTTGGTCTGGACCTTCTCAACCAATACCTTCTTTTATCTTTGATGCAAGAGAGCAGGTGAAATTAAAGTGACAAAGGATATGCTGCCAAGAGCTTTCTTTGCTGTGTTGATGTTGTACATACCTATTTCAGAACTGGGCAACAGCTGTTAATTACCTCCTCTAACAAGACTCTGGTTGTAGGCAATGCAAGGGAAGTCCCCAGATGACAGCTGAAAACAGGAGGCTCCCTGTGCCTCACCAGTCATCTTCCATGTATCTCCTGTCCTTCTCAGGCAAGTTCACCTGTATAGAAGCTCGTTTCCACCTGGAGAGGCAGATGGGCTATTATTTGATCCAGATGTACATCCCCAGCCTCCTTATTGTCATTCTATCCTGGATCTCCTTCTGGATCAATATGGATGCTGCACCTGCTCGTGTTGGCCTGGGGATCACCACAGTGCTCACTATGACCACACAGAGCTCTGGGTCTCGAGCATCACTGCCCAAGGTAGGGACTTATCTTTATTGGGGGGTGGGGGGTGGAAATATGCACTCTGGGGAACAGCACATAAGTAAGTCACCACACAGATCCTCCTGGTCAATAGGGTTGCCATTGTCCTATTCCATTTTGAGGGCAAGCAGGATAAATTCCAGATACCTCCTACAAAACTCCTACAAGACTCCTGCATAGCAGTTTCTGTGACTGGCAGGAAACCTTCCCCTAAGACTCAGCACTCACCCCAAGATACACTCCAGCACCCAGTAGCTCTGTACATTACCCACTCCAGCAACTACCTCACATAGATGCACACTCTATATTCCAGCTTTTACTCATCTGACCATCATACTTTTATAGCACTTAATCTCCCTGTTATGAAGGACTTCTGGCGTGATCAGATTGGATTAGTATTTTACTTGCATGTAAACCATCACAATCAAGACCTGGATAAATTAAAAACTGTAGAATTGTTGTTACTTCGGGGTCCAGGAGCAGCTTCAAAGACCTCATAATACATTCATGTTAAATGAGCTAGATTTTGGTATCCAAGAGCAGATGTCACCCATATCACGGCTTGATCGACTCATTCCAAAGACCTTGGGAGTAACAAGTAAAATAGCAAGCAAAAAGGCATTTGGGTGAAGAAGCCACCCCATCTGAGCCCCTCCCTCTCTGACTCCTAGGTGTCCTATGTGAAGGCCATAGACATCTGGATGGCTGTGTGCTTGCTGTTTGTCTTCTCTGCACTCCTAGAGTACGCTGCTGTCAACTTCGTGTCTCGGCAGCACAAAGAGCTGCTCAGGTTCAGAAGGAAGAGGAGGCACCATAAGGTAATACATAAAGCATGAAGGACACAGCTGGAATCTGTCCCAGCAGAACATCATTACATGGCAACTGAACTGAGCCACTAGTTCCCAGGGAAATCCTCAGTATATGGTCAGAGGTTAAGGAAGGTCACACAACACAAAGCAGGGCTATCTCAGTGAATTGTGTCTCTTCTAACAGTCTGCTGACCCCAGGAGTCTAGCAAGCTGGTTTTGGTTAGCTATCTAAGTGGTCTGAGACAAAAGGGTTGATCTCAACAGAACAATTTGCACACTGCAGTGTTCTAGTCTGAGTTCTCCTCTCCAGAACACACAGCAAGCGCTGGGGGGAGACAGGCAGGGAGGTGTGAGGGGTGTCTGTTGGATAACAGTATCTCCCAATGAGACAGTCTACATTAGCCCAGAGGTAAGTGACACCTCTTTTGTCTCTGTCATCTCCATGTTCAAAAGCATCTGCTTCTCCGACTGACTGCAAATTCCCCTCAGGAGGAGCACTATTCTCAGCCTTAGCTTCTCTCCATGCTTCCTCACCATGACTGACACCAACCCAAGCATGTCACATAAATGTGCATCTGCAGCCTGGACTCTACTAGCTTTTAGGCTGAGGTACCACAGCAAAGATATCACCTCACAGGATGCACTAGAAAGAAACATGAAGGTGACTGTGATCACAAGACCAAAGGCACTAAAAAATTGTCCTTGATTAACTTGTAGGATCAGGTGGACAGTATCAAATTTTCAGCATCAGGCCTGAGAGGCTGCCTTCAAGCTGACATTAAAAAAAACAGTACACTTGCTAAGCAAATGACACAAAGAAAATATTGATGAGTATATCAAGAGAGCCCTTAGGAGACCACCAGGGTCTACCTAAAATTCTCCTTATTGTTTGCTCTCTATTTCAAAGAGCCCTGTGTGATCCATCCCCTCCAGAGACATCCCCCCATTACATTGCTTCTGTGTACCAGCTACTAAAGTCATTCCCAGGGTCCAACCTCTTCTACAGCAGCTCACAGTCTGTGTTTGGAGAACTGCCACCACTCCAGCAGGCAATGGCAGAGAGGGAGCAGGAATCCCTGTCTCTTTGTACATTTACTTTTCTCTACTTCAGTCAATCTATCTCCAAAATAGGGCAAAAATTGTTCACTTGTCCCCAGCCTAGTCAGGACCAGGGATGAAAAGCGTCAGACAAATGCAAGGGAAAAGAAGTAACAGATGAGACCATTGGCACCCATTGAGTTTGCCTGCCAGAGCAAGACCCTGCCATCTCAAAATCAACGGAGGCAGTTTGGGTTCAGCAAATGCAGCCTGCTTAACAGAGCCAAAGCTAAAACCACCCAACAGAGTGGTTTTATCTCTTCCTCTAGATTCAGGCATCGTACCTCTGAATCTGTGCTGCTCCACGCAGATCGTTCTGTTGCTAAAACAATGAAGAGAAAAAAAAGCCACAAATATCCAGATGTTCCACTGAACACAAGGCTGCTGTTACAATCCCTGCCCAATCTCACAGTGATTTAATTGAAACAAAGCATAAACAAAAACACTTGCAAAAGCAAACTGAACAAGATTTGCAGGCTCATCAGAAAACTAGGAGCTGACTGCAAATATGCAAATGGTTAGTGCAGCTGCCAAAGAACCTAATTGCTCTGTCATGATGTCCTGACTTGTCTGGGAAGCTCTGCCTGGTTTAGGTATGACACGACAGGCTAAAATCACGTGAGATGTTGCAGTGGTCCATGCTGGTGAAGGCAGCTGGGGAAAGGACCAGCCCATGCCCACTTTTATTAGATCTGCCTGAATCAAAACCTACTGACCATTCCTCATTGCTCAATGTGCCAGACTGTGCATGGTCTGGCATTAATACAAGTGATTAGTGATTCTAGACAACTCTGTTTCTTACTTTCCTCAGTTTCACATGCAAGGTGCTAGCTTATTCTCACCACCAAGAGTCTTGCTTACACTCTAAAAAATAGAAATCAAATCAATAAATATCTGTTTTCAGGTTTCAATTGGCCCTTTCCATTTCTGAGACCCCTCTTACCTCCTTCCTTCTGGAAGATGGAACCAGAGGAGAATAGAGGCAGTTTAAACCGAACCCCCATTATAATAGATTATCTTAAAGGTCTTTTCCAACTTAAAAAGTTCAATGATTCTAATATAATTGTGACAAGAAGGTTTATAAGTTCTGACCATCTCAGAAGCCAGGCCTCTGCAGCTCATGTATGTTATTAGCTGCACAAGGGAGGCCACTTAAGAAAGGGACACAGGTTAGGGAGAAGTGGCACCTTTGCAAAACTCTCCCTGAAGCCCCAGAGCCAAGAGATGTTGATCCCGCTGCTCCTCAGGCACAGCTGGGGCTCCCTGACCCAACGCAGCTGGGTCCTAATCTTTGGTGCCTCAGCTTCCCTGATCAAAGAACTGCCTCCTCACAGAGCCATTGTTAGGAGCCAAAGACTTTTTAGGATTGCCAAGTCTCAGATACCAGGGACCAGAGCTACACCAAGGGGACACAAGCAAAGCAGGGAAGAATCACCCAAAGGCCTACAAATTCCTCTCAGCCAGGACTCTGAAACAAATAAGCCTGCTGGTAGGTCACACAACTCTCCAGCTTGCTAGCCTTCCCCAAAAATCAAACCAAACCAAGGAGAGTTTGAATTTATTTGGGTTGGTTTTGCTTTGCTCAGATATGCCAAAGTGCTCTCCCTTCTGCTTCTTCACCCCAGAGCCTCCATCCCATACAGCTACCTGCTTGATACAGGCGCCATCCAGAAAAGACACTCTGCAAAGGAGAGGGAAGGGGACAAGCAAAGGAGGGCACATCAGGCAGGCAGGCAAAGAGGGTGGGGGACAGGAGGTCAGCACTGGGGGACACAGGTCAGTGTTGGGGAACACAGCAGGGATCAACCTCTGTCAGATAATTAGTAGCATTGGTCTAACAATTAGCCTCGGTGACCTGTAGCCAAGAGACTTGGATTTCTGATCCAGCCTCTGCAGCTCCCTGGTTGCATTATTTTGGCCAAACTTGTTGTTTTTTTCCTGTAATGACATCCCTGGGTTCAATAAAATAGGGCTAAAATATTCTGAGAGCCCAAAAAAACCACCAAAAATCAGCAATAGCTTTTGCCTTGAGACTGGAAAACAATACTTTTTCTCTTGCTCAGTAATTGGAATTAGCACAAGCAGCCATGTCTTACCGTTGACCTGCAGAAGGCCATTTCTGTTCCTCAAGTAGAAGATGGCTTGTGCAGAGGGGCTGTGGGTCCCGTGGGCAGGCGAGCTGAGGGCTGGTTGTACGTTGCCTGCAGAGGTCTTTTCCTGGACAAGTCTTGGTGCCTGCACATCCATGTAACTCTGTAGAAAGCCTCGTGCAATGGCTTTGACTACTGGAGTTCCATGGAGCCCACTCCTTCTGGGCGAGCTGATTCGGCACAGGCAAAGCAAAGAAGGTGCTGACAGGAGCTGGGGGGAGGGAGAGGCAGAAGCAAAACAGGGGATGCAATCGGAAAAATGAACAGTACCATCAACCAGTCAAGTGTGTCAAAGACCCCAGTGGGGTGGAAGCCAGTCCAGTTCTCTGTGGGGTGCCTGGATCCCCTGCTTTGCATCTGTGCACCACACAGCTTGCACCCCTCTATAAGGCTGATCTCCCAAGAGCAGAGGGTTTGTCCAAGGGCGCCGGGGGGCAGGGAGATGGCAGCGGAGAGCCTTATAGCAAGGGTGCACTGTCTATATCTCATTTTAAGTAGAGTCCCATGCTGAATCTGTTTCAGGAGGATGAAGCTGGCGAGGGCAGGTTCAACTTCACTGCCTACGGGATGGGCCCAGCTTGCCTGCAGGCCAAGGACGGCATCTCCGTCAAGGGCGCCAACAACAACAACACGGCCAACCCCGTCCCCCCGCCCTCCCGCTCCCCCGAGGAGATGAGGAAGCTCTTCATCCAGAGAGCCAAGAAGATCGACAAGATCTCCCGCATCGGCTTCCCCATGGCCTTCCTCATCTTCAACATTTTCTACTGGATCATCTACAAGATCGTCCGCAGAGAGGATGTGCACAACCAGTGAGGGAAGGGGAGCAGCCGGGAGGGAGCGAGCAATCCCTTATCTATGTGCAATAGCAATGCAGCAATGCATGAATTTAAGAATGTGGCAATATCTACTAAAAAAAATAAGAAAAAAAAGAACAAAAAAAAAAAAAAGAAAAAAAAAGGGAGGGAGGGGGACTGGGAGGAACTTTTAATCATGTGAACTGAGGAAAACTGGCAGGGGGAGGAGAAAAAACACTCTTGGTCTGGGGAGCGCAGGGTGGGGATTAGTTTCACAGCATAGGAAGGTTTTTGGATTGCTCCAGCTGCAATCCAAGCAGTGTAATATATTAATATATATTCATGCTTGATTATAATGCAAAAAGAAAAACAAACAAAAAAAAAGATAAACACAAAATACCTTTTTTTTTAGCCTATTAACAGCTTAGATTCTCAAGTCGCTGGAATGATCCATGATTCCATGTGCAGAAACAACCACAATTACACTTTACCTGACTTTTGCCATAGAAAGGCCATACCAGTCAAGCACGTGGGGAAAGAAAAAGCCCTAACAAAAGGAAGAAAAACCCAAGAAAATCGTTCTCTTCTTCCCTAGGTTTTGCACTTTGAAAACTGGATAGATGGGGAAACTTAGGAAAGAGGCTGAAGGTTGTTGTTTATTTTATACATTTGCTTTTTTTAGTCATGGGTTTGCCGATCAAACACTTTGTGACTTTTGGATAGAGGAAAACAAACACATTATCTCTCTCATCCCCATCAGAGAGCATCCAATGGGAAACCCAAGAAGGACATCAGAGCCTTCATCAGAAATCACAGGTACTTTCTGTCCTTTTAAATCACCTGGCAGGATTCAAGTCCCAAGAGTCAGAAATGGCATTTAGAACACTGGAAATGATGAAGGATTTATTATTCTTTTTTTCCAAACCCCTTTCTGCCACATTTGTTTACAATGGGGGGGGGGGGAGGTGTGGAAGCATTGGATGAGTTAAAGCAGACATTGTATTTAAAAACTAGAGAAAACAGGTATATTCATGCCTTGTTGCAACAGGACCGGGCAAACGGCAATATTGTCAGTAAGGGAGGGGTGGGGGGAGATGTGTACAGAGAGAGAAGCTTTTATTTTCAGACATTTCATAGCATTAATAGTGAAACTGGGCCAACGGACCCAAAAGTATATTTTTGTATCTATTTTGGTGCTGCATTTAGCTTTAACACAGATAGGAAGGCAATGCAGGCTGCTTTGCCCCAGGGGAGGCTGGCACAGTTTGGTGGGGATGGGGAAGGGAGGGAGGTGGGAATGGGTTACAAAGAGGTGTCTCTTTGGTCAAGCAGTAGCACAGGTTGGTGTTAATGGTTGGGGTGGGGGGGAACACACCTAATGCCTGCAGGGTGTTATTGGAAAGCCTGGCACAGGCAAGTCAAGGGCTTGATGCCCCACCTGCCTGGGACCCTGAGCTGCAGCACCTGGGGTGGTTCGGTTGTGTTCATTTGCACTTTAGTGAGGGGGGTAAAAGAGAGTGTGAAGGAAGAGACAATCAGTCTGCACTGAAGCACTTGGGGTCAGGTCTGGATTAGGCACTAAATAAAGGCAGAGATACAAGTGGCACTCAAGGAGTGCTTCCACTCTCCCTCCTCTCCCTTGGATTGCAGGTGACCTGGGCTGCAGATCCAGTGCTTGCTCCAGGAACAGAAAGGTTCCTGTTTGCAGCAGCTGCATCCCCCGGAGCAGCTCGAGCTCACAGCAAAGTGCCCTCCAGCAGCACCAGGTCCAGTCTGGCCCACGCCAGCAGCATCCAAGCTTGGGATGGGAGGTGGGAGCTTTTGCTCAGCCATGGTTGTCCCAACCAGTGCAGCAAGAGGCAGATACCAGAGAGGGCAGTGGAGGGACTGACCTTCAAGCTGTCCTAGCACAGGGTCAGTGCCAAAAGGAGGAAGCCCAGAGAAAGTACCAGGGCTCTCTTGGGATGGACAGAGGGACACCCATCTCCGAGGTTGCCAATTCAGCACCTTTCACCAGCACTAAATACACTTTAAAATAAATTAGAACAAAAAGGAAGAGGGGGAAAAAAAAAGAAAAAAATAGAAAAAAAAATGAAAAAAAAAAAAAGATGGAATAAGAACAGCAAGGGGGGGAAGGGAAAGAAAAATAAACAAACATGATGGTCACTATGTGGACTAGGGCAAATGGCAACATTTCCTAATATTTTGGCAAAGGCCACCTAGCTTTGACTCCCTTTGCACTGCTGAGACAGGGAAAGGTCACAGGGTACCAGTGTGAACCAGTAAGTACATCAGCCCCTTGCCCCCTTCCCTCTGTTGGCACAACAGAAAACCTGTGGGCTGGGGACTTCTCCTTCCCCTGGCAGACAGTGTTTTGCCAAGGAGGGAGATCTCAAGCTGTCAGGCAGAGCAGATATTTGATGCTAGGACTACTTCCCAAGTCTTGGCTGGATCCCAAATCTGCTGCTGGCTCCTGGTTTTGCTTGCTGAATTATTGAGCTCTCCCTCCCTGTGTGAAGGCCAGGAGTGCCAGCTGCAGGCTGTGCAGCTGCTCCACACGGCAGGTCCTTGTCTGAGATGAAAGAGCAAATCCAGGGAATTCCCTTCCCTGCCTTGCTTGGCATCCCACGCACTGCAGTTCCTTGCTCATGCAAGGGGATACTCACAAATTCCTGTCATTTGGGCAAAAAAGTCCTACCTTGATGCCCAGACCTTGCATGTAGGAGTTGGGCCCTTTGGTCATGATTCACACAACTTCTCAGCCTCCCCAGGCTGCCCAGGATGGCTCATCTGGGCACAGCCAGCCACAGGGCTGTGGGTCTCCTTCCTAACTGGAGCTGCTCTACAGAGCTCCCTGGAGATTGTTAACAAATCCCATGCACCACCCTCTCATACAAGTTTTGACCCCACATCCCAAAGGCAAGACCAGAGCAAGGATAAGGAATATGTTCCTACCTCACTTCCTTCTGCTCCTGCCTAGGAAAGAAGGTGGAATCCCATGGTTATCCTAGGCCTACTGCTTGGAGATGCAGATAAACTCACAATTGCTGCTTCACTAGAGCTCCAGTGTCACTTCTTGGCACTTGAGTAAGGACAGAGGAAGGCAAATTAGGGACTAGAAATCATCAGAAAGAGGTTTGCATTTCATGCTCATACGAAAGTACATCAGCTGCTAGTGGAGTCCATGGGAGTTTACAGACTGAAACAGGAATTACAAGCTTACCAGCCTGCCTCTGCATTCAGTTCAACTCTGCCAACCACCAGGCATGTTTGATGCTCACCATAAGCATTGGTATTTTCTCTTCATTCAACAGCCAGTTTCCATTCTGACCATTTTCCAGCCCCAAAACTGCCTGCTTGGTGACAGCCAGCAGCACTCACATCCCAACATGAAACATGCTGGAGTGTTGGCAAAGGTCTGACAGTGCTGAGATAGTTGTCCCACAGATGTCCTGCCAGACAGTTTCACCATGTAGACAAGACCTTAGACTGCCCTAGGAGCCCCTGGCAAGGCTGCAATTTTCAAAAAAAAATCAAACATTTTTCTCCATCTGTCCATGGCTGTGTTTAGTCTCTGTATTGCAACAGAACTTGCTTTGATAATCTCTCCTCTTCAAAGCAGGTGCTCCAACAGTGTCAGTAATTCTACTTATTAGTAAGAATGTACAGGATTTGATATTGCAGGGTGGCTTCCAGGCATAGATGGAATTTACCTCAGCAATTCTTAGCTCTTGTGAAGAACAAGGCTGAGAGCAAAACCTCTGTACAAAATAGAGAGCAGTGGGTCTGGCAGTAAAGAGAGAAAATAGGGTCCTAATTCACTTGGATTCTTTGGAAAAGTGGAGCTTCATCCCAAACAATATTATTTCCAGATGTTGTTGGAAATGTATCATTTCATGAGAAGGAATTATTTTTCCTTATACATAACTGTGGAAAAAAACCCTCAACAGTAGGATAAGCTTACTATTTTGTGGTCAGGTAGATGAGTTTTCCCCACTTAACTCCTGATTAAAGTGTTTTTTCTCTCTGGGATCCCAGTACACAAGATCCCAGAAATCAGAGACGTGCCAAAGAGGGTCCAAGACAGACCAGTAAGCACGTGGTCTGGTACAGACTGGAAGGCTCAGCCTTGAACCTTAGCAAAGCACCAGCTTGTCTTGAACCACAGAGGCAGGGTCATTGGCTTCACAGCTCCGGTAGTGCCCTAGTTCCTCCTGTCATAGAAACCTTCACGGGGGGGGGAATTTGCTCCTACAAGCATCAAACAATTTCAAATGCTGAATGTTTTCATGGTCCTGTGAACAGACATTTTTTTTGTTTGTTTTCCCCAGAGTTTTCTGGAAGGTTTTGTTTTTTTCTTCTTCTGCCTTTTCTGAATATCTTTCATTTTAAGGCAAACTCACAACAATTCAGATTACAGTATTGGTTGTCCTTTATCTCAACTGTAATTTTAAGATCTTGCTTTGCTTCCTAATGCTGGTGGAAAAATAATATTACAGATATTTACAATATATATATTTTTAAAAAGAAAGGAATAAATTAAAGGATAGAAGGCTATTTTAAATGGTGCCATACTTTTCACAGATTTTATACAATCATATTTTTGTACTGTATTGCCATTCCTTAATAAAACATAGTTCTTATCCCTGTGCCAAAGACAAACAATCTCTTTCAATGCCCCATTCCTTACTCCAAAACCTTGCTACCAGCAGCAGTGGATAATGCAATATGGGCCACTTCTCCACCAAACCCCAATCCTGATGGCAAAGTTGCAGGTCTGAGGTCACTGTGTGCCAGCTGGACATGGACCTCTTCTGTCTGGGTAATTGCAAGCAGCAGGTCCTGCATTGCTGGAATATCCTGCAGAGCTCACTTCAGTGAAAGCAGTATCTGATCCCTTCCCTGCTAGAAAATACCTGACACTGCATTCTTCTCAGAGGGAGATGTAAGGGGCATCTCATGCTGTTCCTGCTTCACTAGATGTCCATTATTTGTATGGAGACAGTATACTATTTAAGT